CAAGTGGACACTTTAGAAAAAAGATGGAGGTTTTTCCAACTCATTGGGCTATTTCAGAACAAGCAATGAGAAAGTATTCAGTAAGACCTGGAGTCGGCAATTTAGTCAAGAGAAGTTAACGAGACTGTCTCTTCTAGACAATATAATGCAAAAGTGACTTTGGCTGGGAAGGTGCGGTGGTGTGGCTAAGGGTGATACCTGTTTTTAGACTAAAACTGCTATTCCTGCAGCAGAGATGTGCTTTGCATTTCTCCCTCTATTATGATTAACATTAGACTTCATGCAAAACTAAGATCTTTGAAAAGCATTATTATACTTTAACCCTTGTAACCCAGGAGACACGTAACTCACGTAATCAAACAACTACCTGTGATAGACTCAGTCAGGAAAGAGCTCTCTCCATGGGAAATGAAATGTGCACATTTCCAAAACACTGTCAGCACTGGATATCTTTTCTCACTGGGACAGAGAATAACTTCCCACCTAAACATAACAATGAGACTTTAAAGGAGTAAAGCAGCAAGACAAAAGCTCTGTGAGTCCCAATAAGAGTTAATGAATGCACTGAGTTCAAGTAAGACTTTACATGCAGCAGAAATAAGTAAGAAAAATAATTCAAATGGGGCATAACTGAGAAATGTAATCATGTGCCTTTTCAAGCACGTGAGCAATTCCATTAATCTGCTTTACTTGCATTAGAGAAACTACTCATACACATAAACTCAAATATATGATTAATTATTTCCCTAACAGAAGAATGGCTAATGAAACTAAATGTTGTATGCGTGCATTTAAATGTTTCAAGATACTTGATTCAGCATCTTACAAGCTAAAACATTTAAATTTGCTTTTGGTGGAAGATCTGTTCCCTGGATGTAAAACATTCTCAGAAAGCAGCATTTGAATTGATACACAAAAATATTTTGCTGAGAGTCACTACTGATCATCTAATAAAAGGTTCCAATACAGTCAGTCATAACCAAGTGAAAGAGCTTGTGTTCTACACATGTTGAGTATGCTGCAAAAACAATACAAAAAGAGTGTTCGTAAATAAAATCAAGCAATAAATGGGAGCTAATAACAATTCTTTGCTCAGTTCTTAATAGTAAACTGCACTTGCAGAGTAAAGTTTCAGAGACTTAAAAAAGTGACTATTTTCACACACATGCAAAAATTCCTTCACCAACAAGTACTTGCTGTTCAGATTGTCACAGGACTCTATTACGCATTTATTAGCATCTCTGATCGTACACTGATTATTAATTGTATTCATTTTGCCTTAAATTACTGGGTGTTTTGTAGTTTATGTACCATATAAATTTACTCTTTTATGCAGCTTCTTGAGTTAATCCCATACTTTGTTTTGGAGATGCTGTTACTATTTACTCTGAACAAACAGACGTGTCCACACCAGTATCCCTGAAACTAGAATAAAATGTCCAGCAAGATGCTGTCTGAGATCTCTGCTGTGACAAGCAGTGTCGGAACCTGATGAGGTCAGTCAGTCGGTAATGCGCTGCACTTTATGCTGGGTGAAATGTAAGTAGGGAAGATAAATAATAAATTAATTTTATGATAGAAAATGAATTTTGCTCACAGCTTCCTTTTCTGTTGTGGCTTTTTAAACATGAAGTTTGACAGCACTGGCTCACCCTGATGCATATTCTGTAGTCACATTTGAGTCAGCATTTGAGAGGACCTGTTGCCATATGGAAAAGCAGGAACAATTACTCTAAATAATTACATCAGTTTATTGCTGTCTGTTGCCAAGAGAAACAAGTCCTGTTGGTAATATCCACTTGTGTTGCCAAGTAACTTAATCTTGAGGGAAACTAAATATGCTCCAGTACTAGCACTTCCCTAACAATAAATATCCTTTCTAACTGATATCATCATGGCTCATAACCGCATCTTTGTCCTGGTAATTTCCTAAGGTAATCTCTGCTAAACTATGGGTTGATGACCTCAGAGGTACGAGTTACCACACCTGCCTTGAGACGTGCTTGGAGATGGTATCCAAGTACAAACAGGGCAGTCTAGGCTTCCTTCCCTAGTCTCTGGGGAGAAAATGGAACTTTTTAAGGCGAGTGAGATTTAACAGACTAAATGAACTGCATGGCAGGAAGCAGACAGTTTTGATTTGATGAGGAGGCCCTGTGGAGATGGTGCTGGCTTTACTGAACTCTGGAACTAGAGAAGGCAAATCCAGGTTAGGCGCTGTCCCACCCAGGCTGCCAGCAGAAAGGGAAGCCAGTCCTGGCTAGCATGTTTAAACTTTCCCTTTGGCAGCAAAGCCTGGCCAGAGTGAGCCTGGTGATGAACCTGTTCTGTAAAACCTGCAGGCTGGCATTTTCAGCCTACAGTGCTGTTTGTATTTGAGCTCATCACAGCTGCAAGTGTGAGTGAGGCCTCTTACTCAGGAGCTTAAAGCAGACAGAAATAATGGCTGGAGTTACCAAGGGAAGACAAACTGGTCCTGGCACCTCCCTCATGCTCCTGCCACAGGCACTTGTGCTGTTGTTCAGCCAGTCCTACTACGCCTTTCAGTTCACCATCACTCATAAACTTTGAAACCCTGCTGTTTAAGTGCTGTCATCCAAACTGTTACAGACTGTTTCCATTTAAATTTCATTCCAGATAGAAAAGACAGCACCAGAATCCCCCCTTTTGTCCCTCTCAAGTTTACTGCATTGAGCAGGCCTCCCCTCCTCAGCTGCTCACACTGCAATTCTCATTTTCTGTCTTTGGCTTTCTGAAGCCATTGAACACAGCCCTAAAGAAACCACTTCTGCTTTATGCACCACTTCACAGCAGCAAACAACTGCAACATGGTGACAAGTGCTTTCTTGTCTCACTAAAGTCACTGTGTGCCATTTTAATTCAACTGTTTCTAAAAAGTGCTTGATAAATTCTAACATATTGTAGCTTCCCCATAGCTAATACCATGAACAGCACTATTCAGATGGATGCCTGACAGGCCCTTTATTTAAGGCTTATATTACACAAAGCACTTTGCAGTCTTAAGTGATTCCTCCCTAATCCAATTGAGCTTGTTGATTCAAAACCTACCCTGCAGTCCCTGATGATGGTGACTTGACAGAAACTACAGAGCTTGTTGTGATTTTCTGTTTTCTTTGTGCTGTCACCAATTTGTTTGGCTGTGTTTATCCACTCTCACATGCTGACAGCCTCTAATCAACATCTAGGATCCTGTGGTGGCTGGGGGTATGGGGTGGTTTTCACTATGAAAACCATGTTCCATGCAGCTCTCAGAACAGAACCCTCTTTTTTTTTTGTTCTGTTCCTCCCTTTTTGGAAAAAGGTACTGCAGACAGAATGCCTTCACAATGCACATAGGAACTTCCCACCTCTATGAGGAATGCTTATGGCAAGAAAATGAATTCCAGTGTTGCAAAGGCCTTATCTTCATCTTTGTTCCAACAGACCAACCTTGTCCATGACATCCTCTGTACATGAAACCCCTAATTCTTCATGCCTCACCACTGTGTTAAATCAGGGTATAAATACTCTCTGATTTGGACAGCTCTTTATGCCCTTCTCATGTCAGATTCTTTCCTGAGGGCCCCCTTCATAAACACACATAGTTTTCTTTAATAAAATTGATATGTATTAGTGCACAGGGCACAGCATGTATTGAATCAATTCTTTGTAATACAAATAACTAAATACATAAGTACATAGAGAAATCTGTGTAGCTTCTCTAGTATGTATGGAGGTTGTTCCTTTGTCTTCTCGATCCTAATAGTGTGTACAAATTGGCATTGACAATATACAGTTATTTGCTTCTTAAGGGCCTAATTTCCTATGTGTTACTGAAGGTCACAGGGACTCAGCCAAACCTGAAATAATCATTTTAATTCCCAGTCTTTTTATTTCACTACAATGTATTTATCTTATAGATTTTTATGTAGACTTATTTACTGGTTTTCTTTTCCTGTTGGGTAAGTATACAGGAACTAAATTACCTCCAATTAGGGAACTGTCACCAATACTTAAAACTTAATGGCATTTTAAAAATTACGTAAGTAATCCAAGCATAAAAATTATTCTTTACAATACCATTTCAGAGCAGTGGCACCAAATCCTTACTGTACAATAGCCTGTGACTCAAAAGCATTAACCACATCATCACATTTTCCTTCTACCTAAGTTACATATTCCTTGAGTTATATACAGTGTCCTTTTTTCCTTTTTATATTTGGACTAAAGCATCTTTAGAAGATAACAAAATACAAAACAGAATATTCAGTGTCTTACTTTATAATCAGTGTATTAAATTATGTCTTTAGTTATACATATGCAACCCTATGGCTTTTAGAAATCAGAATTTTCCCTTTTGTATATGCACACAATGACGTCTGTCTTGTGTTTCCCCTCTAGCCTTGCTAGTAGAGTATTTTAAAGATGATACACTCTCAGAGAAGCCATCATCCCAAGAAGCCCAAAGCACCTTGATATAGAGACCCACTTGAATTTAAGCACAGATTTAAATCCAGCGTAAGTCTATGTGCTTTTCAGTACCCAGAGAGTCTTAAAGATAAGCATATGCCTAATTTTTATGCTGAAAGGGGGCTAGAAGCAAGGTTTATCCTCTGAAGGAGCAGTGTATTTGGAATACCCCAATACAGATTAATGATACTCTGTGAGATTTGTCTATGAATACAGCAGGAAGAGGAAAGCCTCCATTAACAAAAGGGCAGACCATGAATCAACAAATGCTGGTAACTGTAATAAGCAAGAAAACACTTTAGCTCATGATGAACCACCAGTTTCATCCTGTGCTGCATTTGGCTTTCAGAGAACATAGGTTAACTGCCTGCACTGAAGAGAATGACATGCTGTCTTTAACATTACTTGCCTTTTACTGAAGAGGAGGGATATCGGTGCTCTGGGAGAACTCTGTGACATGTGTCTGTATGATACAATATTGCTAGTGGGAAAATACTAGTTATACTATAATTTGAATGAGAAAAACTTACTTGAAGGCATTGGCATCTCCGTGGACCTTGTAGTTGTCTGCACTGATTCTTGAGATAACTCTTGTGACAGCAATGAGAATACCAATATTGACCTGAAGAAAAAGGAACAAGACTTGGTTAGGACAGTAAGTATCGACTGTGTCAGAGGTGCAAACTGCCCTCAGAATGTATTGTACAAATACAACAGAAAATAGGAACTCTGTGTGTTGTATTTATTTGGCAAAAGAGGTTTCCAGCTTTGGACTGGCATAGCTTGACTCTTGTCAGTGGATTCCCCCCTTCCTGCAGTGGGTTTTTTCTGCTTGTGCTTTCTTTCCTTCAGGAACAGTCCTTGCATGTCTAGGATAAGGCTGGATTGATAGATTGCTTCAAAGCTAAAGAAGTGCTCAGCATCCCTACTGTACAAATAAATACCTTAATACTCTACTACCAGCTGACAAATCAGACAGAAACTTCAGTGCGCAGGGGCATGTGTCTGCGTGCCCTTTGGTTTTGAGTTTGCACATGGACAGACTTCAGGAAGCACTTCCCAGTCAGCAATTCCTGTTTCTTAACGAAGTCTGTTTGCAATTTAAGCACAAGATTATTTTAAAACAATGAGGAAAATATGTTAAGCCTGAACTCTGCTCTTCAAAAGCCCTGCTCTTTTTGATGTCAGGCCCAGCAGAAACATCAACGGAATGAAAAGAACTCCAACCAGAAAAGTAGGAAATCTTGAAAAGACTGAGGCTGAAAATGTCTAACAAATGAGAGCTTGCTCTGGCATCACAGGTGAATAAAGAAGAAAACCTTTACCACTTAAAGGAAATATGGCAAAGATTGTCTTGCTGTGCAAGGACCTTGGGTTTAAAGAAGAAAAGGGGAGAGAACGTGAAGGGGAAAGATGCATTTTCTCCTTTTTGTCCAAAGTTACACATCCACTGCAAAGCTGAGATTTAGCATCAAGTTAAGAACAAGGGTAGACAAAAATATGCTGAACTAAAGAACAAAAAGAGAAGATTTAAAATAGTGCTGTTGCTCGGTTAAAATTCAACCACCATCTGCTATTTTGACACATATATTGTAATTCTGAGGATGAGAGGGTGAATTACAAAATGTCTGAGAGGAATGGTCTCATTGGTATGTTTCAACTCTGACCACTCTTAATTTTAGATTTCTAAGGGCAGATCATAACCTGTGTAAAGTAGGAGCATATCTGTGATAGTTCATTTCTGCTACAGCTTTTTAGCCTGTTCAAAGAATACCCCATGGAACTTGACAGCCTTTCAATTACAAGTGTTCTTGTTCAGTCAGCTTTACAGAGATGAACGAGAGGTGAAATCAATGGCCTTGGGATCATTTTCCCTATTCCCACCAAATCATATTTCGTAAATAACTTTTGTAACTTTATTGAGGTGGTAACGAGCACTTTTGAGAAACCCATTTATATGCTAAATATTCACATTGACTGAAGCAGCAAATGAGGAACCTGACCAAGTTGAACTCTCTTCTCCAAACTGTCCTATTTTCTGACACATTGACCAAATGACCATCATCATTACTCCAGCTTTCATGGGAATTACACAGAAAAAGCCTCTGTGTACCCTTAACTTCTTCCTGACATACTGTCTTTCAGCAGCCTTTTATAATCTTTTATCCAAAGTATCAGTCACTTTATTAGTCACATTTTGACACCTCCCTGTGGATGTCTCACTGACAGTTCAAGTTCACCCTGGCACAGTCCAGGATCCCTTTCTCTGATGACTGCAAACACTCCTGCCAGATTCACTAAACTCTAATGCTTTCTTCCATTCCCAGTTCTTTTTAGATGCTCCTAGATTTTGCTTTCTGCATAGCATTTTAAAAAATACATGGATTATGACTAAATAATGTACATTAAGATACTCTCCCCAAAAAGGAAGCCTCATTCTTTAACTTCTAAATTTCCTACATCCCACAAAAGCCAATGAAAGTTGTGAATGATCAGCACCTGAACACTCAGCATCTTGTAAATTCTCACTGTACTGGACATGAAACCTAAAATCTGGTCATGAAAACAGCACAAGCAGGATAGTCTTGAAAGAGACAAAAAGTTGATGGCTTTCTAAAGCACAAAATGTCCAGCATTTCTGGTTGAATTTTAGTTTCTTCATATAAAAGAAATTAAATTGGAAGTTAATTTCCTAGGTATTCTGGGTGTCCTAAAGTGGAAACTTAAAAAGGCCTGGAGTTTCTGTTGTGCAGTCAGTGTGAATACATGTCTTTCCAAGGAGCAACAGTAATACATTCAAAGATGAGAAGGAAACACTGTGCTCTCACTGCTGATAAAAACCAATGTACTTGTAAAATTAGCAAGGAACCATTACACTCCAGTTCCCAAGTTCTGTAGTTAGATTTCCTGAACCACTTAAAAATTTTGGCTTAGGTATTTTGAGAAACCACAGTTATCCCATCCAGCCTAAACAAAGAGATTTAGCTACAAATGTCTGTCTTTGTTAGTGTTTCAGTAAATAAAGCATGGAGGTATTTCCAGTGCTCTTATTAATGGGAAACCAAAACACCGCCACTGAATTGTTCTTCCAGTGATTTTTTTTCGCATCTGATGCCAGTGATTTGAATGGGAGGATGCTTAGTTGATGAAACACCCCTTGTGCTTTAACCTGTATGAGAATGTTCAAACTAGGAGAATATAAACGTTTAGATACGGGAACTATAAATAGCTGCTGTTCATACTCCTCTGAAAGCCCACATTACCTGACCATTGCCATGCCTAAATTACACAGGAACCAAAGAATATTTTTGTTTGCAGGTACTGGCCACACTCTACTTACAAAAAAATCTAGCTCAGAACATCAGTGCTTGTTCCCCAGCTCACAGGATTCCTCTCAAGGCAGCTTATCCAGCCCCAGCCACTTGCAGATCTCTGCGAAATCAGCAAGAGCTGCCAGTTCCCATTACTGTGGGCTTGATCCAAAGCCCACCAGGGCCCATGGAAAGATCCCAATGACATCAGGGAGCTCTGGCTCACTCTAGTGAGAGCTTCATCTGACTGAAAATTGACGGATCAGGAAGAGAGTTAAATAGGTAAAAAGGACCTCTTTCAAAATCTTCTCTCATCAAAATGTTGACAGAGCAGATACAGTGAGACAGATTCCTTCCTCACTTCGGTTTTCTACATTTCCTCCAGGTCTCATGAGATTTTTGTTTCTTCTTTAGTACAGTGCAGAAATCCCATGTGTAAAACCCTCTGATGTGGTGTGCTGCATCCTAGCCAAGAAAAGGCTTGGCAGCACAAAGGAGCTATAAACAAGAATAAAACATATTGCCTTAATTAAATCCATTGACCAGCTTTCCTCTAAAACCACAACTATTTTAGGCTCCTCTTCAGTTTTGGGCAATGGTACAAGGAATTATAACTGACTCTTCCAATCTGAGGTTTAACATGCTCACTCATGGCGTGAGTTAACTTGATCCTTACTGTGACTGCAGTGGTTGCACACCACTGCTGCAAGTTGTTGCAGTTGCAGCCCATTGCTGGGCAGATGAGCAAGTACTGGGTTCTGCATTTCCAAACACAGCTACTTGATTAAAAGAGATCAATGTTAAAATGATTTTTGAAAAGCCCAATTCCACTTTTAGCTATCCCTGAGCAATTCCAACTACAGATGGAATAGACTGAATTGAGTTCTTTTAGACTTCTGTGTACATTACTTCATATTAATGCATGTAGTATCACACCAGTCAGAGCTGAATAGCAGAGCAAAATTTTGAGGTTGGAAAGACACAATATTTAATAAAATGTAACAGATCCCTGACTTCTCCTCTTTCCTAATATTAATCCTTAATTTTAAATTTCTTACAATCTGTCCTTTTGTTCAAAAAAATGCCACATGCTTTCCTGTTAAGAGGAAATTTAATTTAAAAAAAAATGAATTTAAAACAGTGTAATTGAGGGGTACAGTGTAATTGAGGGGTTTAGTAGCTGTGGTCTGTTTATTTGTGCTCAAATCCACCACAGCACTGAGCTTTGTACTTGATTTCAATGACTCTGAGAAATCCTACCATCTCAGAGCCTTTAAACACTATGGGTCCAATTCCATCACCCTTTCCTGTCATGTCTAATGAAAGACACAAGTTGTCACTTTTCCATCAGTGGACTCAAGTGCAGAGTTAAGACTCTCAGCATACAGAAGTCATCATAATTCTGCAGTCGTACATAAAGGTATGAATAACTACCAGGAGGAAGAAAACTTACTTAATCAGGTATGATCATCAGGTATAAGGGAGAGAATTTCTTTTATATATTGAATGTTCATAAGCAAGTACCAACTAAAGTTTGTGACAGCAAGCTCAGCCTGGGCCTCAAGTTCTTTGGAGTCCCATCTGAAGACAGTAGTTACAAATCCCCCACAGCATCAAACCCTTACAGTATGCTAATAGAAATCATTTAGCTCCATAAAAATGCTGTTTATCTGTAAGACTTGTAAAACACACCAGACAAATAACTACTTACAGAGAAAACAACAGAAAGGACTTGTCACTACAGCCCAGTATCTTCCGACAATGGACCCATTCACTGCCTGCAGCACACCCACTGGCTCTCTGGACACAGATGCTTTCCACAGAATTTCCTTAATTCTGCCATATCTATGGAAGCAGACCAAGCCAGCAGATGGTTGATAACAAACAAAGCCTTCTGCCAGAGATGTAATGTCTTGTTCCAAACATTCAGGTGCTTTGTCAAGTTTCTTCTTCCACTGAAGACATGTCCCAGGCAAGCTCTGACTGAGCTTAGCTTGGTCTTCAAATTAATGGCAACAATTTTTTTGCATAAATGCCTTAAAGAATGTAGAGGCTTGAGCGTTGTGGGTGAGAGAGAGGGATCTTGAAACCTTCAGATGCAGGTAGAAGCCAAAAGACCTACTCATAGAAGGAAATATTTCCTTCATCACATCCCTTGACTCAGTGCCCAAAGGAAAGAGCACTTTGGGTATGGGAATCCATATAGGGCTGGGAGGTTCTGTGAATTACTCCCTAGAAAAGTATGTGTGAGTATTTTTTTCCCAGTCACACTCCTACCACATCATTCTGTTTGAAGGCTCCTTGATGTCTATATTGCCTGTGGCAGGACAAAAGTAGACTGTGTCTGCCTAGTCTCTAGGGAGTGGGAGTTGAAAAGAGCAGTCCCCCTGTTTTCTTCACAGCATAATCCTTTTTTCTTGGCAGAGAGAAACTGTGGATGGAAGTAGTCAAAACCTGCTTTTTGAGAAGCATTTTCAGAGCTAAACACTAGTTCATGCAGCCAGTAGCTGATTTGTTATTTAAAGAGCACAGGCACACACACAGAATAGTGTTTAGCTTCCTTATTTCCCTATAGGCGCTAGCACATTTTTCAGCTCGCATATTCAATGCCCAGAGAGAATAATTTGTCAGCTATCTTGCTGCTATTCTGGGCAGAGCTGGGATTACACTATTTAACAAATTGCTCTACATGGATCAACCTTGTGAGATCACTCTTTCTCCTTCTCAAAATATTTGCATCCCTACAAGAATATAGCTTGAACTGCACAAATGCTATATATCAGAAGTGAGAGCCAGACAGACAAACCCTTACTTTCAATGGCAAGCAGGTACACATGCAAACTGTTGAAGGCTGTGCTCACTCAGGTGAGTAAGTCTTGCACTATCTGGCATATTGTGATTAATACCATCTTCGGAGAGAGCTGGAAAAAACCTGATTGTACTGACTGCATCTCATTTCCTCCTTTGCTGCTAAAGAATGGCAAGAAAGTGAGTGCTAATGTGAGAAGCAGACATTTGAATATTAGGTTATTTTAACTGCTCTCCAATCATCAATATCTAAATATCTTTGAATACAAACTCACATACAGAAAGTGCAAGGTACAGGCCAACAACTTGTTTGTTGCAACAAAGTCCAGAGTTGTTTAGCCAGCTCTAATCCAGTGATCAACATTTCTTATTTACACACATATGTTTTCACTTAGGTAAAATACACCAGCCCTTACTGCACAGGGACTTTCAAGTGTTGCATTAATAATTGAATTAAAATGCTAACATGAGACAATTTCCATCATCATTATAGCAACTATATTTTTGTGCGGTATGCTTATTCAACCTGGCTTTTCAGGGGCAGTATCTTGAGTGGAAGATACTGGACTGGGTTGAGCTGCAGTATAAAAGAGGCTGATTTCACTCTCTGCCAGAAAAAAGCCAGCCAAGAAGCCACCTTTTACTTGCCAAATAATTATGGAAATATGGTAAACACTAGCTCTCTATGGATAGCTCCCATTTCTTCCTTTGGCTTGTGAGCATGATTTATGGGGTTTTTCCATGTAATAAAATTTGGAGAAATTTCTATGTGCTTCCATTGAAATCCTAGATTTCTTAAGGAAATGCAAGGTACAATCAGTGGCTCCTCTTGATGCTCCTCCATGTAAGTAGTCAGGATCTGACCTTCCTTAAACACCACAGCAGGCACACTCTGGTCTAGATTTGGGCTCACGCGTTTAAAATCTAAGGAAAGCTTTAAAGGCAACCAGTGAGTCTTTTCTATGTTCACATTGTCACTCTGACATTATAACCTGCAGCAAAAATTGTAGATGGCCTGATCAATTAAAGTATTGGAAACAATGCTGAAGAGGAATAATGTCCCATTTAATCCCTGCAAACACCACTGGCTCCTTAGGTAATCACTGTGATTAGGCTAAAACTCACTGTAATTTAATGTGTGGGCATAATTAAACTGCTGTAGAGCCTTCATGTATTAGCACTGGAGCCATGAACCTGCACCCTCCCCTGGAAAGATGATGCTCATTATAGGTGGCAGAGGCATTTGTGGCAGCCACCTGACCCCAGTGAACTCACCTTCACAGCTCTGCTTGCTCAGCAGGACAAACTGCTGTACCTGACATTGAATTCAAAATCAGAGTGCAAATTCCTTATCACTGTAACAAGACAGGTCTGGAGGAGGCTTGTTACCTCCCCCAGAGCTCACCCCCAAGGTGACAACTCCATTTTAACCGCTGTTTTAACCCATTCCTGCTAGCTGCTGACTGCTTGCAAACTGCAGATGAGCATCTCTACTGAGAGCACTCGCAAGAGCTTCCAACACCAGGGAGGTGGAATTGGCCTTTCAGCTTTTACTGGTGTATATGAAACACAAGCCACAGAGTTTGTTCTTTTGAGGATCTTTCAGAGAATTATTAAAAAGCCCCATATTACTTGGTTCCACACAGTTATTAATGTCCCCAACAGGACTGTTTCACAAGAGGGCTGTCCCAGTATTTTAGGTTGTATTTTTGTCTTGGGACAGTGTGAGAATTAATATGTATATACTAATACACAACTGTGAACACCATAAACAATTGGGTGAGCAACAAAGTAATTTTGGACCATTCCTCTCTGCTGTGTCCCTGGCCTGGCATCAGACCTTCAATAAGTTCTGCTGCGGGGCTGACACAGACATGGGACAAGGAAGCAGCAGTCGTGGTTTTACCTACCAGAATTACAAACAACGCTGGTGCCACGAAAGCCCAGATTGCTCCATTCTCTAGTGAAAGCCAGCAGCTGCAGAGAAAAATCAGAATGATTTTAGATGGAACACATGGTCAATTAATTAGTAACGCTCTTAATTTAGAAAAAGGAAAAAAAAAGCCTAAAAGGGCATGCAAGAAGACTGACGAATTTTAAAAGCAAGAAACATGACAGAGCATCAGTAAGAAGCTGCCTTTCCCTTCACACAGGGAATCTGAGGCAGGATCTCACTTTGATTTGGATCTTGCAGAGAGTCAGTGACAGCTACCTGCCCCAGCACGCCTTCAAATTGTGTTAGGGGCAGAAAGATGGGAAGAAGGGAAACGTTCTGTTTGGTATTTGTTGTTCTTGTACCCTGTATCACAGGCAGTGATTTCAGTGCCGTGAGCACCATCACTGTAGCAAAGAAACAAACTGAAGCCCTCTGTGCCCTGCCTGGCTGGTGGTGAGGAAGAGGCTGGGAAACATGCTGTCAGCTTCACACGTCTTTCTTGCAGCAGTGATGATGTAAGCTAGTTTACCACATGCAACATAACCCTTGCTCCAAATCTTTTGCTTATATTATGGTAGGAAAAAAACACCTGTGGTGGGTTTGGGTTTTGTTTTTTTTTCAGATAAATTTGCCTTTTTTTTTTTTCCCAAATTAGAAAGGCGTTTAACTAATTATCAAAATTTTTAACACTATGCATTTTAGGTCTTCAGGTATTTAACTGCAGTTTCCTTCAAAAGATTATCTTCAATCAAAGGCTGTTGCCATCCTGTTAGAAGTGTTCTGGCCTGTGCTTTCCTCTGTGCGGGAGGTGGCAGGGTGCTCACAGTGGGAGGCCTGACACCTCTGCTGCAAGAGGGAAGAACAGGCAAAGCATCTCAGGAGCTTCTGTGCAGCAGTGAAAAGCAGACCTGAGGTTTCCAGGTCTAAGCACAAGCCTATATAACAGTCGTTCTTTGCAGGCTGCCTGACCACTTTCTCAGCAGGATCTTGCAGAACTAGTTTAACTCGTTTTTTAACTACAGGGTTTTCTCCCCATCAGATTTTTCATCCTTACTGCACCCAGAGTGAAGACATTTCCATACTCACTTGCCACTTTCTCCATAGCTGTCTAGGGACGCCGATGTAGATATTACACAAATCACCAGTGGGCAGCCTGCAAAAAAGGCAAAGTCAGGAGCAATATTAGTAACAAAAGTACATCTTCAGTGAACCCTGCAAGTTCAGCTAAATTTCATATGGATGACAGAACAGCTCAGAGTAATTTTAGAATTAAGTCTAACATGACATCTTCCTGCAGCTGTGTAATGCATGTTTTAATCAATTAATGTCAGAAAAAATGAGTTTTCAATAAAGCACTAGTTTAACAGTTAAAATGAATTACTGCTAATTTCATGGAGATTCATAGTCCTTTTTCTGCCTGTTTTTTGCTCAGGTAATTTCTGTCTCTTGCTATTCAAGCAGAGATACCCTGTGAAGAAATAGCACACTTATTTTAGCCACCTTCCCCCAGAAAAGTGCACCTTGCTCAAGAATTCAAAACTGTCTAGAAAACAAAGCTGTTTCTCCCATGGGTGCATGGCTAGCAGGTGGGAGGACAGAAACGATGACATTTAGTTACCTAGAGCATCACATGCAGCAGCAGGCGATGCTTATGAAAAGACAGAAGCAAATTCACATCCCACTCAGATGCCCAACCAAGACTTACTTTAACATAAATATGAAATAGCTCCACAGGATTTCAGTGCTTCAACTAGGCTGTATTTCCAGATGGGTTTTGACAGTTCCCATGTGCTGCATCCTTGGAGGTGGAGCAGTGCTTTACAGGATTACACCCCAATTACACAAAGGCAGACAGACAATTGCAGCCCTGCAGTTGGGGGGCTGCATGCCTCTGGCCCCCAGCTCTGTTATATCCTGTAGTGCCACTTCAACACAGCTTCCCTGGCCAGGAGCTCAAGAGGAAGCGAGGTTTGTCTTGCCAGCAGTTCTGATTATAGTAAAACCTCATCCTTTTAAACATTAAATGATTCTCTGTTAATTCCTGTATGATTTAATAAAATGTGAAGTTCGGGCTTTTATCATCTTACGGAATTTAATACCCAGATCCCAGAGAGTGTATTAGATATGATAGGTTAAGTGTCAATTTTCTTTTGAATTCTTCAGGTTTTCTGCATGAGGCTTTTCTAAAATTCTCTGACTAGCAATTTCTGCTTAATCTTACCCATATCATCCTCACCAAATTCTGTAAAGTGTTCCTGTACTGGCAGAACAATAAGTTTTAGAGAAGTATTTTCATTCTTTAGTGACTGTGGCTAGAAGCACCTTGTATTTACAAACAGGAAGGATACTCAGTAGTTTAGAAGCAACATCTACAGGCATTGCTTACGTCTTAGACTCTGAAATCCATTCTGCAGGGTTAAGTTTAATATCTCCATGAACTTGACTCTGCTCTCCCATGCCTGTCCAAATCAGGAATAACCCCTTAGAAGTAATACTTATGTAGTAAGACCTAAGCAAAGGCAAGATTTCAGTTTACAAGCTCATTTGTCTATTTAAGAGAGGAAATTCCTACACATACCTGAACAAAATCAAGAATACATTCAACAGAGCAGTAAAGCACAGACATAAGCCTACCTGCTGAAACTCAGTCTGCCCTGGATGTGAGAGCTACCTGGATGAAAGGTCCCATGGGTCTTGTCTACATTCCCAATCACATCTTTGGTTGCCAGTTGTTGATTGGCACTGTTTGACTTCTGGTTCAAGCTGTCTTCCCAGAGCAGGGCATTTGTCACACAAGCAAAAATACCTGTGCCCAACTAAGTACTTTGTACTTCCAGTCTGCCTGCTTTTTCCCCCAAGTCAAATGCTGGCTATTCAAAGGATCTGTCATGACATATCAATTTTAAGTGGCAGTGAAGAAGAAAATTAAATACAGAGTTCCTTTGGAAGATAATAAAACTTAAGCAGATGAAACATAGAGCAGTCATCTGCACAAAAAGAGCTGCTAACTCGGTGAGAGTAAAATGGTCTGCAGCCTGTAGTACAGTTTGTCTTGTCTTTGCATTAACAAGATATTAAATGGATAATGGCAATGGAGGAAGAATCAAGGTTTTGTAACAGTGAAATTGGAGTATTTTTCCTTTAAGAAACAACTATTCAATAAATTTCATAAAGGTTGAAAAAATATATTTAGCCTGAGGGGGTCATAGTACTTGATCTGGACTAAGGAACTCATATGGATTATATATTACACACAAATGTAATTGTGTTTGCTCAAACTTTTGTCAGTAATAATTACGTAAAAGCACTGAAGTTTAGTCTACACCCATAATAGGGAATGTTAAAGTTTTGTGCTGACACTGGTTATCACCCAAGGAAGACTTACGGGATTTTACAGTACCTGAATGTTTTCTCAGTTACCAGATGCTACAAACGTGCTCACTGATCCTACCACAAATCTCTAAATTTATGGTGCAACAGACCAGGCTTTCCAGAACACAGATGAAAATGTTCTAGCACACCTTTCTGGCAGCTGATCTATGGCACTGGTGTCATCTGTGTCTCTGTAGCCCTAGAGCAATACAGTATCATATTTAAATGGGGTAAATCAACCCACATGGAGCCACGTGATGCTGCAGCTTGAGGTCTCCAGGCCAGCTAACTTAAAGCTGCCTCCCAAACTCAGCATCAAAGTACAGCCTGCAGAGCAGGCATAAACTCTTCATACCTGGCACAGGAAGCCCAACAACAAAATAGACAAAATTCTCTGAAAACTCAGCCCAAACACATCCAGTAGGGTGAAGTCTAAAATGAATGTCAGCTAGCTCCTCTTTTCAGCATTAAACATCACATCTAATCCATTTGCTGTATGTTTCTGAGACACTAATGATAAATGAAATCAAAAATGCCTGTAAATCTGAATGTTGTATTTTGAAAGCTTCTGCATCTTCTATACATAGCAAAACTCCAGGCAGGCCATAGAGACTCCATGGCAGACAATTCAAAGCAATTTTAGGACATTAATTCTAAAAGGCTAAATATGTCATTTATAGAGCAAGATTAAGCATTAGACACAAATGGAAGTATTTTTCCTTCCAATACTGAAAAGATCTACTTTGCCTGATGGGGGAAAGTATATTTTCCAGTTTGTTTTGTAGAAGTTAATTTCCTTTGATTTTCTTCTGCTGTTATGTTGCAGCTATGCAGAAGTATGGGACTACACCAAGCAACAACAAATAAAGAAACGTAGCTCTTTTTGACAGCTCAAAACAAAATCTTCATTCTGAGGCAGTCTCTATAGGAAAGGAGATTGTCTGAAATAGGAAAATGTGTTAAGGCCAAAGTGCCACAGCACTCCAGTACCACAAACTCTTATCATCAGTACCCTACAGATGGGTGGGTGGGAAAAGTTTTGCTACAATAATCTGTGTGTATTATGCTGAATCACCAAGGCAACAAAGTATTTTTTCCCCTTCAATCTATCTCAAGGTGGTTTTAAAGGTACGATATTATCACCTTCTTCAAATTGCTCTTCTTTTGAATTCCTGACAACTGTCTTTGAGGTAATTTTAGCACCCTTGGGACTAAAGATAATAAACAGGAACTTCAATCAACTCTGCACATTTGCTATCCTGCCTCTCTGATTACTGTTAAATTCATTTTACAGGAGTGATATCTCTCCAAGGATCAGTGATACTCAGTGCAGAGTTCCTTGTCTTATCTCCTCTCATTGCCTCAAGTTTCAACTTGTCATTAATACAGAGGATGGAAGCTTTTACACATGTACCTACCCCCAGTGCCCCTGCTTAAATAAGAATTATGGGTCTGGAATTTTAAGTTAAGGACTGTGGTCTGCCATTATTCCAGGACCCATGAGATTGCAAAGGTCAAATGCATTCACAGTTCTAAAAGCTAAGAATGAAGAAATGAACTATCTGTTTTGACTAACATGAAATGCAACGCCCTTATCTTCAACTTCTTTCAACCATCTGGTCAGCTAAGCCAAAGTGTAAAAACACATCAATTTTTATTAGGTACTGGAAAATATGTATCTATCATGGTCTCAGGATGCTCAACTTCCTTTTGACAGTTGTATTCAATGCAAACTTACCCTCATTTTAAGGCCAAACAAAGTAATTTTAGGATAAATCATTTCTAGCCTTTTTCCCCAACCTTGCAAAGCTTCTGTTTAGATGTGGGAACTTTAGCAATAGATATAACTTCTCATGTTGTCCTTTCATCAAGTTCATGAAGGGACAGCCCAAACTACCCCACAGAAAACGAGCACACTGCTGCTGAATGCAACACTGACACCTGACCTCTAATTAAACCTCTAATTAAATGTTTATAATCCTATTCAGTGCCAGTATGCTAACAAAGGAGAAAGTTGGGAGCTGACCAACCTGGGTGTCCTTTTAAGCATTTACGTAAGGAACACTGCTGGGTGGATCTCTCTCTAAACCCATCATTGTTTATCAGCATCTGTTACCAACTGACGAGCATTAAACTTGCATACTAGCCAGTGAGCTGCGGTGCTGTTGACTGAAAGTTGCCCTGATACTTGTCAAGAGATAAACAAGTTGGAATGCAGTTGCCTCATTACATTACTTCAGTGATGGTTAGACACACTTGCAGCAATAGCACAATGTCAGAGATGATTAAGGAAATTCAACATTTTAATTCAAATGTAAATACTTGGAGCTATATGGAAAAAATAAAGCATACAAACTGCTTTCCCAGTGACATGGCAGATTTACTGCATTTCAGTAAAAAAATTTTTCCTAGTCCTTGTGAGAATATTCATTGGAATGTACTTTCAAAAATTAAAATATTTGGCAAAAAAAGGTATTTTGCAAAGTTTACACAGAGAAGTGTATTACTGTTACATGGATGATGCCTTCCACTATCTGTTCAAACAGTAGCTTTGCTACATTTCAGAAACAGAGCTTGTCACCGGTTTCTTACACAATCCTTGCCAAGAGCAGCATTGCTACAACTGATACAGAAGCTTCTGCTGCTGGTACCTTCTGTATTTTGCTCCATACATCTACTGTTGGGCCTATGGCATTTTCCTCCGAAGCATTATTCAAGATACCACTGAAGAGACTTTTTAGTAACCACATTTAACGTCCCATTGGATTATGCATATATAGACTATGTACACATTGTGCTAATTACTACTAATTGAGTGGTAGCAATCATACTGCAATAAAAAGAAGCAAAATGCGACATTTAGTACTAGTCGTATCTCAGCCAGATGCCGTTTATCCTTGTGCCTTCTAAATAACTTTGTAGACTGCTGCCATTTTACAATAAATAAACCTTACACAAAATGCCAGAAAAAAAGTGTAAAGGTGCATTGCGGCACATCTAAGTCATTAATTTATTTTCATAAGGTAATTAATGACTGATTATAAATTGCGTTAATTAAATCATCTGCTATACGCAAATACCCCAGTGAATTAAACACCAGTTCCTAATTATTTTATAAACTGTTGTGTCTTTTACATAAAATTTCTGAAGGAGAAAGAGTTCTCAGGGTCTTATGAGAACGTTTTCTTTAGTTTGATCCACTTAGATTTGTATTCCAAGAGCTCTGGATTAAATAAATCCACAAGAAACCTCTATAACATCAGCAGGTTTATCTACATTTAGCACTCAGTCTAAAAGAACCTACAAACCTCCAATGTCTTTAACCCTCTGCCTCTCTGGGTTCTCTTACTTTTAGGTCTGTGTGCATGCAAGAGATGAATTATTCCACTTAGCCTGCTCTGAGTAATGGTTTTGGAGAAAAACAAGGAAAAAAAGAAGGGGGAGATATTTTACCCAAGTCTACTGAAAACTCAGCCAAACAGCTTTCAACTGCTTTCAGCACCCGAACCTTTAAGGTGCATACTGTTGTCATGCAAACTGGCCATTCCTTAAGAGTAACCAGGGTAAGGACATAAGGTATGTGATACTCCTGAACTTGTCACAAAGAAACAGTGAGGGCACAGAAGAAAGCTTCTCAATGTAGCAGATACCTTCACCAGAAGAATGTATCAAATTGCCCTTAGAGCTTCCAAGAAGGAGATTTCAAACCCAAAGGGGAATGATGTACAGAATAAAAATGTCGTTTTCAAAAACAGGACAAGTAGGCAGCTGTTGAAATATATATATGTATGAATATATATGTATATATATTTATTTATCTAAAAAAGTAAACAGCATTAGTGTCACGCAGATCTGCATGGTGCCAATTGGTATTAAATATCCCACTATGACTACAGTAGGTTTGTATTATTGGTATCATTGGGTTTTATCTTCAAAATGAATTTGTGGGGAGAAAGATAATGCATGTTTTAATGTATTTTGAAATTATCTGTAATTACATAGATACTCCTTTGCTATCTTTTCGCATCTCTCCTTTTGACTCAATGTATGAGGTTTTCTTCTAAATGTGGGGTTTGTCAAGCATCATGGCTGTATTTCCAGGACAGTAACAGCAAGCTGACTTCCATGTGTTGTGAAGAGTTTGGAACAAAATACTCAGTTTTGACTCCTCAGTAAGTACACAGGTTATGCTTTCATTACTGCATTTAAAAAGCTGTGAATTGCTATCTGTGAGATTCCCATGTCATAGTGCTACTTTTTTATTCTTAATCATAACACTGAGGCTCTGTGCAGCTTTTTCCATCTGATGATTTAAAGGCACAAAGCATCAGGCTACGAGGTCTTATGATACCCCTGTGCTACTGCGCTGGTTTTTTATGTATGACTTGCAGAATACTAGAATTCTAGAATAAGGCAGTGTAGTGAGTGAGAACCAAAAAAGGAACATACCAGTGCAGTGAGACTGCCCTCCCACAACTCCTGCTATTGATTTAGTAGTTAAGGATCTGATCTGGCCTAGTGAGGTCATGGAATTTACTGCAGTGGAATTAGGTTTAGAGGCTATATACTTTAAATTCTGATTACAGTCAGAAAAAATTACGCATTTTCTTATCCAACAGCCCTACTCTCAATAAGGCTAACTGTGGTCATAAGATGACAATTTTACACATGCTTCTGAATATAATCTTGTCCTACTGTGAGAAGACTTAAAACAAGCAGCTAAAAAATGCTTACCCCATCCAATTCCATAATAATATAAGTGCTTGCTCTCTTCTGACCCAAATACTTTGATCACCATACTGTAGAGATGAAATCCTTCCACCAGCATCCATGCAAAAGCGCTCAGGAAGAAAAAATGAAGGAGAATGGCCAAGATCTTGCAAGGCACCTGAATTAAGAACAAAAAGTAGTATGTTACTTCTTTGTAATGCAGTCACTTTTATTTTTTTTCTATATACATTTACGTACTAAACGTTAAATCTCTGGAGTAGAACAGCCTTAAAAACAAAGCACTTGAACACTTCTTTTTTCTAGAGTATTTTCAGGTAGCTTCAGAGTAACACAACCTTTTAGCTTTAAACAGAAAGATCAACACAAAGCAGCTCAAAACCATTGCCAACCGTGATGTGGAAATCCAAGCTGGTTGATACTTATAATAGTGGGTGCAATACTCCTACTATAGTCCACAAAAAAAATTAGAATTGAAAACCAAAGAGTCAACATCCTGTGGCTAAGCCTGAAGTAAATACAGGAAAGTAGGCAAGTCAAAGAAGTAGGGATACAAACACTGTCCTCTACCTTGTTCCCAGCTCTGTGGCATAGTTCATGCCTCATTTTCTACAAAGAACTGTAGAAAGTCAATGGAACAGTTAAGTTCAAGCAAAACGCAGATATTTTAAAGTGAGGTACCACGTTGAACCTGCTGTTTAGTTACACCTTGCCATGTGGCTTTCCTACTTTGTTGTTTACATCAAACACAGGGTAACACATAAATTAAATCTCATTGTATTCCCATGTCTGTCCTGGTTAGGAAGTCTGTAAAAGTGTCATATGCTCTTCCATCAACAATATAGACATTTCAAGAAATGCTAGCAAGCTTTCGTTGGCTCCTGAGCCCTAATTGCTCAATAGCAGGTATCTAGTTTACCCCCCCTGTTTCTGGGCTTGCAGCCCAGAAAGCCAACCGTATCCTGGGCTGCATCAAAAGGAGCTTGACCAGCAGGTCAAAGGAGGTGATCCTGGCCCCTCTACTCTGCTATCGTGAGACCTCACTTGGAGTATTGTGTGCAGTTCTGGTGTCCTCAACATAAAAAGGACATGGATCTGTTGGAACAAGTCCAGAGGAGGTCACGAGGATGATCAGGGGACTGGAGCACCTCCCATATGAAGATCGGCTGAGAAAGCTGGGGCTGTTCAGCCTGGAGAAGAGAAGCTGCGTGGAGACCTCAGAGCAGCCTTCCAGTATCTGAAGGGGGCCTATAGGGATGCTGGGGAGGGACTCTTCATTAGGGACTGCAGTGGTAGGACAAGGGGTAATGGGTTAAAACTGAAACAGGGGAAGTTTAGATTGGATATAAGGAGGAAATTCTTTCCTGTTAGGGTGGTGAGGCACTGGAATGGGTTGCCCAGGGAGGTTGTGAATGCTCCATCCCGGGCAGTGTTCAAGGCCAGGTTGGACGAGCCCTTGGGTGATATGGTTTAGAGCAAGGTTTTCGTGCCCATGGCAGGGGGATTGGAACTTGATGATCTTAAGGTCCTTTCCAACCCTAAGTATTCTATGATTCTGTGAATTCCCATTTTCTCAGTTTGATGTACCATCTGTATATGAAGTCATATTTGGCAAGAATACATCTAGTGATTAAGACAAAGAGCTCAAAGTTTTCAGATAACTTAAATACTCCTTGATTGTCCTTTATTCATTATGTGCTATCAAGATTCTGGAAATAGGAGCTAATAGAAAAGTTAAAGAAACAGAATAATACCACCTAGAAAGTGAGCCCACTTAGTGTAAACTAGACCATTTCAATTTAAACTGTAACATATGCTTTGAAGTGCCCCAAAAGAGAAGAATGCCATGACTAAGGCAATGCAGCAAGAAGTAAAAACATCCTCTTAAGTCCTTTTTACACCCACCTCAGTGATTACTGTGGGCTACGGATAATGCAGTCTGGGCTTAAAACCTGTCTTTTTCGTAAGTTGCTCTGCAAAGAGATCTTTACTTTTTTCTTTAAGTCTCCTATCAGCCTACTTGACAAGAACAGGAAAAACTAATCCTTTCTTCTTCCCCACTCCTCATGTATTCACACAGCACACCCTCCTTTCCCTGCTAATTGCTTTTCAAGGATGTCTCACCACAAGTGGCTTTGCTCATCGTGCAGTAATTGAACAGATGTGAGTGCCAACGATCTTACCAGAAGATAACCTTGTTTGGTTTGTTTTCAGTTAAGGCACATCTTAAACAGGCTCTTGGAACAAGTCCCAGCTATATGTGTTTCCCATCTTGCAGCACACTGATGACAGTCATTCTGCTTGGTGGTTGTAACATCCCTTCTGTGACACCTACAGAATTTCAGAGGGGTTGCTTGCATGCTGTCCATGCAAACAGGAAGACCCTTCTTTCCCCCCTCCAGCATTTCCCTTCCTTGTCAAGTCACAGTCAGGTATCCAGGCAGATGCAATCTGTGTGCTGAGGAAGCATTACCAGTATGAACCAGTTTGCTGTCCTGCTACACTGGTCTTCAGATGTTAATCCTCAGTTCCCTTTGTTACTGTAGCTTAGCTGCTGTGTACTGGCATTTCATTCTTTTTTTGTTGATGGTTTGGGATTTTGTGTACTAATGAAAATTAAAATGTTGGGACTTGCTCGTCTAACAAAAATTAAAGCTTTCCCATCCCTTCCCAGTGGTAGTCAGCTAGTTCTGTGCTAGTGCAAGGACATTCTAATACAAATCCACTGCGACTAAATGTATTAAAAAGCAATAACTTTGGTTTTAATTCATGTAAGTGAGATCTCCAAGTGTAGTATTTCACAGTGTTTGGTGACATTTAACTAAACCAGATTTGCTTATTGACAAAAACTGTAAAAGCCTTTCTTGTTAATTTTATAAGGCTCTGAAATCCATTTGAATGCCTTTGATTTGTACTAGAAGATTAGTCCATGAAAATATAAATGCAACATAAAGCTGACTTACAAGCTAGTTGTGTCAAATAGATACTTTCCAATTTTTAGGTAGCAAACAATAGGAATTGCAAAACAGCAGAAAAATAAAATACTGCGAAGTAGTAGGAGACTGTCCTATAAATAATTTTGTATAATAGAGATTTGCAAATTTTTTTAAGAGGAGATCCATAGCAAAGGTGCTACTCATTCTGTATTTGTGCCTTAATTACTTTGAAGATATTCTTAAATGACAGGATTGCCTTCTTGAAAAAGGCATTGAAAAGATGAGATTTTACATGTTACAAATACGCAGAGCTCCCTTGCTGTGTCGTATGATGCACACTACTTTTAGCAGACTGCCTGTAAAAAGACAGATCTCATTACTGTTACTCTTACAGCTGACTACTACTGAGTCTGTGGAAATAGAAAAATCAGTCCAGCCAGCAGAAAGGCACATCATGTCATAGTTGTTGAGAAAGTAAAGCAGACTCTCAGAAAAGCCGCTTAGAAAATAGGAGTCACCTGTTTACTGAGGACAGTCTTAAAACAGATAGGTAAATTTGCATGCATTCAACTTCTAATAGTGTTCTCAAGTGGCAATCTTACTGCATTATACAGAAGCCTTCTGAAAATGTCCTTCCCTGCAATCTATATGCTGCTTAGATACAGTCTTGAATTTATGCATGTACATATATCATCAACAAAAGTAGCTCATTTCATCTCCCTATTTCAAAGTAGTTTAAGCAATGCAATGCAGGAGTACTGAGTGAGAAACAGCTCAATACACTGATGCAGAACTTCAAATAGTGGACATATTTTCTAGTTATGCTGGAAAAACACAATGCTGCCTAACACATTCTACTTCAATTCCATTTTCCTATGTCTAAATAATACTTTACTTTCTCCCACAAACATGCACTCAGATCTTCGGAAGGCTTTATTAGCCTGAAGAAAAGTTGATTGTTAATTAGTTAAAAAAATGGACACCTCTGTTTAGCATTCTGTTAAAAACAGTAGACTCTAATCTATAGCAGAGAGTAACTAGGCAGCAAAAGCTCCCGAAGAAAGAAATCCATCTGATGCTGAAAGTCTAAGGGAAGTCATAAGACTGGCACATGGGCAGCAAATATGTCTTAGGGACTTGTCAGTGTAGGAAGAAAATGCTGTGTGTGAAGAGACTTGCGTTCTCTAGTAAAGATACCTTTGTTTCAGGAGTAATTGAATTCCTGGAATATACCATGATCATTTAGGACTACTGGGTTAGCACTAATGATGTTAGGTATCAAAGACCAGCTTTCAAAAATAAAAAGAAAAAAGGGTTTGGATGTATTATAAGGACAAAATTCCTATTTGTGGCCATAAGAGTTTTGTGGTTAAAAATTACTCCTACTCTACAAAAGGAAAATTGCTGCAATATAAATTCTAAGTTACTAAATAATACATTTGAAATTACCAGCGGAATACTGTATACCATATCTGGAATCAAAAACTAAATAACCCTAGAGATGGAGATGGGAAACAACGGAGCATCTAAAGGCAGTGATGCAAGAAAGTGATACCAGTTCAGGGCCTGTTTCCACAGTGCTGTTCCCTATTTCATTGTGTCTCCTCACACAAAATGGTACCACTTGTCCTCTTCTCAAGCAAGGGCACTTATAAACAGTTGAGCACTAGATACACTAGAAGTCTCTTTGGCAGAAGCAGAATACTAACAAATTTACACCTTCTAGTGTAAATACAGCCTCCCTATTTTTGTAAAATACCATTTAGCAGTCCAATTAAAGCAGCATTTAAAGGTATTAAAACTGATGTCAGAACGAGTGAGAACAAAGCCTGCAGAAGGTAAGGACATGAGACTAATAAAAGAATGAATCATAAGATCCCTGATCCCAAGAGTCTAAAACAATAAAAATAAAAGTGTAGCAGACAGTATGTAGATTGTGCTTTTCAGCTTTAAGATCTTTACAGTATTGTGCCCTACAATTGCTTCTGTTACAGAGGAGAGAGGGCTGAAATATCCATGGAGTCTGGTTTTGAAGTGTTTCACTTAGTACACCATTTTTATAACCCCTTGGGTCCAAGTTTTCTGTAGATAAGTGTTTCACTTCAGAAAGCTTGTGCTATAAAACAAGTCTTGCTTTCTGGGTGCTGCTGTTTCAATTTAACTTTCAATTTAATTTTACTTTCAATTTAAGTAAGTCTTGAATAAGTTTAATATAAATTAAAATATGCACCTATTAAACTGTAACTTCAACGTATGTGAGCATTCCACTAGCTTAACTAAACAAGCAGGACATCTCTGTGTGGACAAGGCACATGATAAATGTAAGTGGACCCTGGGACATGTCTCTGGGGAAAATGGGGTCCACCTACATCCAACTAGTATTTCACAGTATTTTAAAAGACTGGAGGTGATGCAGGCTCTGAAAAAGTGTGAAGGGGCTTTTACATGTTATCTGAAGTGACTCAGATGAAAAAATAAAAACTGAGAATAAAACACCCTGTTATGCTGAGTGAATGTTTTCTTGCCCTCAAGTCTATGTACTTTCTAAAGAGATTTAGCTCTATACTTGGAGAGGATTACTTTAATGCCTGGTTTCCACTGTCTTCAGTTTCAAGTGGTATCTTTTGCTGCTCTCCATTGTCTCCATTTAATTTCCATATAAACCATTCCTTAGCATTTTCTCCCTTGCACATGATCTTAATCATTCAGGGCCTACCTGAATGTTAAACAGCAAAAAAGCATGAACTTAGTTCTACAAAGTGCTTTTAGGTCCTCATGTAAAAATAGCCTATGTAAAACCACACATGATTGTTATTTATAAACATAACAGAAGCTCAAGGGATCCCATCTGAGCTGAAAATAAATTTAAGGACTTGTTGTATTGGCAAAATGAAGAGTGTGCAAACCTCATTTATTGTACTGATAATAAAAAGAAACAAAAATTAATAGAAACTGCTCAGTGTTTGTGAAAAGTCAGATGGAGCAATAGCTGGTCACCAAAGGAGCCAGGTTTTGATCATCACAAAAAACAAGCACCCTGGAAGATTATTTTAAAATCAGGTTTTCTTTCTTCTTTTTGCAGGTGGGACTTTCCATCAACAGACCTTATGTTACTTTAAATAACATTTTTTAAACATAACAGTGGAAACAAACTGGATTTGCTAGTATGTAATACTGTTAGCATGGCATATTTGTCTTAATCTAACCCAGCTGGTTGAGATGCCAGTTTTAATGGTACTCTGAATAAGGAATTCCCACCAGATCCATAAAATCAATCTGTAATTCAAGTTCTGATATATGTGATCTATACATGCATAGTGTTTCAGTACCACATAAGCAACAGCAAGGTATTTGTCATCTGTTCAAATGGTTGCCTTAGATGCCAAGAGAAGCATACACACGTTTTACAGTACTGAGGATCTCAGATTAAACTCTTACATTGAATTAATGCTCTGGCTGATTAAGCAGTAGTTCCTATTACCTTTCTCACTGACTATTCCGCAGCTCAAATAAAGATGAATGATATTTAAAAATAATCTACATCTCTAGAGCAGAGATCACGATCATCAGATCTGCTCTTCAGAAAAACAGCGTATTCTACCACGCAAAAAAACCAGTCATGTATGAAAAACCCAAAGGCTTTCTGTTTTGCTCTCCAAGAAAGCAGAATAATTGCCATAGCTACATCAGGAAGCTCATTACCTTCCAAGAAGAGTAAGATAACTTTTTGATGTGGAAAACAAAGGCAAACTGTACTATAGCAGAGAACAGACAATTAAAAAAGCCTACACATACCCGTCTCCCCACACCAAACCAAAACTAACAAGAATCCAAATACCCTACCTAAATACAAAATTCATACCATTTTCTTCACTGTAGGGATTTTGATGGTGATATGATGGGTATGTATCTCTTTCAGTTTGCAAACATCCAGACATGGCCAGATACCATGATAACACTATTTGGCTGCAGCACAGAAGGCTGTATCCAGTGTTGTAGGATATAATTTTGGCTAAGACACATTAAAAATAGGAGACATCACTTGCAAGACAATTTCTTGCATGTGGCATGAGGCATTCATTCCATGAAGATGCCTTGAAAAACCCACTATCATTCTTTTTAGGACTTACTGTTCCGGGGCTGAACTGAAAGCTGGTGAGAAGCAGGATCTGAGCCACCAAGACAGCAAAGGAGAGGTTAGCATGGATATGATAGCGCTGGTTGCGGATGGTGCTGACAGACCTGGCAGAAGATAGAACGACACATGAATAAAACAATATTCAAGAAGCACAAATGTATTTATGAGTTATCAGCAAGCATTTTGATTGGCTTTCGTTCATTCATTTTGGTGGAAGTTATCATGACATCTTTTGAGCACACCTTCCACCAGGATGGAGTGGTACCTAACTGGATTATTTGATTCTGTGATATTCTTCTGCCATTCTAAAGACAGCAGAAAGACTGATTTACATGTTAATTAGCTCTGCTGATGACTTGTGATAGATACTAACAAAGGGCTTGATCCTGAATGGTGCTCTACTGTCAAGGAAGTCAGATATACACCTCACAGCAAGAACAGTCTTGCACCATCTAGTCCATACTGTGCCAAAGTTTTTGGTTTTATTTTGTTGGTATTTGCCTGTATTAAAAATAAGGGAATGTGAAAAGACATTGTTTACAATTATGACTTTACTATTATCAGCTTTTGAGCACAGGAACTATCGCTACTGATGCAGATGGGCAGTGCCTATCTTGACAGAGACCCGACCTTGATTACAACATCATGTGAACATATCTCTCTTGGCTTTGCAAAAAGCAGCTGGAAAGCTGACAAGAACATGCTTTCCTGGGAGCCTTCTGAGCTCATGTTTCTGTCCTCATCCAGAAATGGAAAGTGGAAAACAAACAAAAACATTTATCTGAACATTATGGGCCTTTTGCATGATTTTATAATTCACTTTAAAGAAACAAAACAGTACTAGTGATAACAGGTTCTCTATTTCAATCCATACTGCCTGCCAGGCCCTACCATCAGCTTCCATCATTCCAGGAGACCTGGGCTGTTTGGCTGTGTGAATAGCAGTACTTCCTGCACACAACAGTACACGCTCCCATCTTTTTGTTGTATCACACTGGATAGTGATGACTTTTGCAACCACTGGACACATAAGTGTATGTCCCCTGCAGCAGGGTGACACAGGCTGGGCCATGCAGACAGTTGTGTTCTGTCAGTGCAGCTCTTCAGCACAACTGTAGCCAGTTCTCCATCAGAAGGGAGTAAAGAGGAAAACAACAAGAAGTATTGATGTCCAGAAAGTAATGCAAAGAGACAGGCTATGCTGCCTGGTGCCAGTGACTTTCTAATAAGACACTTCATGTAGTTGCAAACTGGAACATTCTTACCCAGAAGGCAAGCAGGACTGCCCTCTTGGGAAGTGGCCATCATTGCCAGTACACAGGGTAGCAAAGAACTTGCCAGATTCCTCTCCACTTACCTCATTGTCATCTAACACTGCATTGCAAAATTTCACTTCAGCTGTCTAATGAGGCCCTGCTCTCCAGTGAAAACCTAATCAAATTATTTTTAATTGGCAGTTTGAATGATCCTGTATGTAGGTAGGGTGCTTAACCCGGTGACAGTCACGCTCTTTCCAAGTCTTCTGCTTGCCTCTAGTTTCTTAAGGAGTTTTCAGCCCTGCTGCAGCAATACCATCTCCATTTGCTCCCTTTGCCTTTCTAAACATTGTAACACCCAGTTTTGCATTCAGACAAAAATGGAGCAGGTAATTCCACTTAGCCTAAATGTGCCAACAGCGCAATGCCAGACAGGCAGAAGTGGGGCTTATTTAGAGCGGATTTTGCCATGGCTATGCACGTAATCCAAGTATGACCAACACAGGTCTTAAGACTTGGAAATAATATGGGTTTTAGAACAAACAAACACTGCAATCAGTTTACTGGGTTCCAGCAAGTCCTTTTTCCCCTTTTCCTAGAAACTGGTCTCTTAGCAGGATGTCCAAAAGACATGCTTAGGCACAGAAATCACAACTTGAACTCTTGAGCAGGAAGAACATGATTTAGTGTGCAAAAGGAGACAAGAATGCCATTCCTCGCAGTGCTCCCAGTCTGCCGCGCAGCCTCAGACAAGTTACTTCACCCTTTGACAGGTTTCCTATTTTTTATTTAGACAGAAACCTCTATGAACACTTCTTCAAAAATGTTTGTATCAAGCCTAGCTGGGCCTCAGTTTTCACTGCTGAAATACAGAGAGGCATAAAGATCCCCAAGTGCCCTGTGGCAGAAAACCTTCCCAGTGAGAGATGCCTTGAAAGGTCTGCAATGGTACAAGCAGGAGGCTTCAGAGGATTTAAGCGTAAGTCATGGAATGAATTTCACACTGGGTATGGTGTCCTTCGTCCTACTAAAGTAGCACATCAGAAAACTTGCCTAACAGAGAACAGCAAGATACTTGAAAAGAAATACGGGTTATATGATGTAATTGCGTAGAACTTGTATGAAAATAAAGTGGGTCATCTAATGCCTACCAAGCTTTCCTTTCTGGGCATACCTTTATAAACACACCACTGCCTTACAGACAAAACAGCTGAAAAGCAGAAGTACCAATTGCACACAGCAAGCAATCCAAAGATGTATGTAGGGGGTAAGAAGAGGGAGTGATCCAGCAGTCCCTGTGCATATGGTGTTTGCACTGAGCTCCAGACCAAGCCCTCCTTAAAGCCTCCTTGCAAGATTCCTGAACTACAGCAAAACATTAAGAGTTTAGAAAACTTCCAAAGATCCCTCATAGGATGGAAATGGCTTACTATATAAAGAACACCCATTTCAGGAAATGAAAAGTGATTTAGAAATAACCAACCAACTGTAACAAAATACATGTGCAGAACCTAATTAAGAAAAGTGGTAGCATTAATAGCCATTGTTTTATCCTGAACAACGGCAGGGATCCCAACCAGTGGCCTGAAATGCACTGCTGGCTCTCTGCATAACAGTTGTTCAGCAGATATTAAGTTAAAATTACTCACGACAATATAGCAAATGTGACCAGCGTGATCGTCAAGCAGAAGATGGACAGAGCACAGCCAACGTAAGTGATGGAGGAGAGGGCCACCTGGTGTTCTCTTGTTAGCTGTACACAAAGGAAAAAAAACCCACAGAATAAAAGCTGTTAATTGATTTATTACACTACAGGACCAAAGGTCAGCCCCCCTGCATATAGCATTTCGTCCTCCATCTGCCCATATATGCACTTATATTCACAGTTATTCCCTGTGTTTCTAACACAGGAAATTAAGAGCCAACTCCAAACTCAGCCACGCAGCCAGAGCATCTATATGCCACTGGCATTTTGGTTCTCTCTTATTTCATTACTCAGGATTTCCTTGGAATAAGTTAGTCTCTCTGCTGCTGTGATATTGTCAAGCCCAAGATTAGAGCAGTTTATTGGCTGAACAAAACATGTCAGCAATGAGATCTTTCACAACTCACAGGGCACTTTGCAAATGCTCTCATGCTGCAATAATTTACATCACTGTGCAGATACCAGAAGTGCTTCACAGCAGTGAGAACTGACAAACTAAGATAACCCATAAATCACAGGCCATTTATAGCCCACTTGTTTTGTTTAACGTGTCATGTTTGGTGCCTGATGAAGGAGCAGGGCTGACATCTATAGAACGGAAAACCACAGAAAAGACCCAGCATGGGCAGTCAGAGTATAAGCTTCTTGTCTCAGCCTCTGCTTGTATCTACAAGCACCTTTTGTAAAAGTAATTCAGTTTTCATGAGCATTTAATCTGCATAGTGCCCACCACTAGGATCTATGTTACAACCTGGAGAGATTCGGAGCAGGGTGGGGGGTAGGACACAGTGTGCTTTGACTATCCATCTTCAATTAAGCAGAAAGTCTGCTTTAATTTTCCATGCAAGTTCTCATAAAAGAATGACAAAAAAGCCACACCTAAACAAAGGGAGCCAGGCAGTATTAATGCATAACAAGGAGAACAGAGATAGGCAGGAAAAGGTTTCATCATCTCAGAAGAATTTTCAGACATTTTTCCTGAGTTGAATCTGGATGGAATTGACATTTGCATACACTGAACATTAAAAAAAAGTGTCCAATCAAAACGTTCTAATGTTGTTGATTTTATTTCAGCGTATTTGCTATAAATTAAATTCCTAGCTGAAACCTCCTTCAAAATATATATTATGAAAAATACTGAAAGGAAAAATGTATCTTCCAATTTTTTTACAGTAACTAATAAAAAGTAATCTTTTCTCATTGTTTTGGATTTTCTATTATTTTACACACACACAATAAAAATTCCCCCCTAAACAACTCCATTAATCAAATCCAACCAGTTCTAGCAATAAACTTCCCATTAAAATTCCTTTTAAAGGACAGAAACAACACGCCATGTAGTATGAGGAAAAAAATCTTTTCAATACAGACAAAACTGATGCACTGTAGATATACATTGTCCTGGTAACTATCTGCCAATGGTACCAGCTCACGTGCAGGAAGTTTCACAGCAGAACAGACTGTGGCTTGCTCAGCAATCAGAACTACTAAGTGATGCACCAGCAGCACTGAAAGGCAACTGTTGCTATGGTGTTATAGTTCCTAGGAAATATGATGCAGCTCTTTAGTTTTTTTTCTCTTTCAGCCAAACTCACATTTCTTTTCCCTGACTTGGGACAGCATCAGTTACAGAAACAAGTGTTCTGTGTGCTGGACCAGCTTAAAAGGTCCATATAATTTCCACGAAAGAGTTCCTATCATCCCTCATTCCCTAGAGATCCCTGAAACAGGAATAATTTGTGTGGTGAATTGTGCAGTTCCAAAGTTATTGCCTCATCAGAGATATTAAAGTCCAAAACGCATGGACCTTATTTCCTGATTTCTCCAATACACATCCCTTTCTCCTGTGACAGGTGGCTTGTAGTTCTACAGAAGGAGGAGGGAAGCAGAGGAAGCTTTTCCAGCTTCAAGTCACTCTGAAATCAGTATTTCTCAGAAGTTCAAAGCTTTCTTTCACTCCTTTAGCCCTCAACATCTGCAGCCAGAAAAGAGGTCAAACCTCTCAGTGCTCATTTAGATTTACACTGGTCTATTACAGTGTTTGCATTGGCAAACATGGGCAAGATCTGCAAAGGAAAGTTAATGTTTTAGTACCATATACAAGTGCAAAAAATACAGGGGATCCATCTCATGGTAATGGGCAAAATTCAAATCCTTTGGGTTTTTTTCCCCATAACAATCCAATAGAAGATAACAATCACACAAACAACTTTTTCTCCTGACTAATTTCTGTCATAACTAAGATGCTTCTAAGAATGCCTTTCTCTGTTTTTTAGCTCAGTCTTCCTCCAGAAACCCCTGCAGGGCAAGACAACACATCCATCAAGTTCTCTCAAGTGGAGCCTGTATTACCTAGAAATGGAAAAGGGGAAAAAAATCCCCAACCCTCTAAACAACAACATGTAGAAGATTCATTCAAATCTAAAATAACCTACATGGGTCACCACAACTATGAACTTGCTGTGGTAAACAACCAAAATCTGATGATGTTGAAGGAATTTGTTTCACTAAGGAAAAGATGGAGCCTGCAACAGCTGTCAGGTTGGAGGGCACAAGAGAGTGGTCCCTCTTCACCACGGCTCCAGTCAGTGAAATCATCTCCTTTCTGCAGGTGATAGGAATTGTGGAGGGAAGGATACAGCACGAAAAGAAGGCCTGGAATGATTTCCAGGGGGTGGAGCCTCATTTTTAAATACAGGTATATGGTGCAAGAGAGAAGAGAATCTGTATTTAAAACACCAGGTCTCAGTACCAAGTTCCCACCTGTTACAGCCCAGCTGGATGTTGGGTGCCTATGTTCACACTGTAAGGGTTAACAGGCATGCAGGTTCTTAGAAATATCTAGCTTGTCAAAGCATCTGATACGAGCTGATTTCATCTTCTCTCAGCTTTTCTTTTTGAAAACTGGAATACGAGACAGTAATCTGGTATGATCTTGTAGGCATCACAAAAAAGCTAATCAAGCTGAAATGCTATTACTAAAGAAAACAGCATTAAAAAGTACCAAATAAAACATTGAGCAATCTGTGAAGTAGTCCCATGAGCCAGATTCTCACACTTGTTCCAATCTATATTAAATTACTCTTCTAGAAGGTTTTGCTTCTTTGAGTTTAGATGGTCTCTTACTCTGCAGTAAGCTGAAAAGCAGGGAAACAAGCTCATGGAATCCTGACTGCTAGTAATCATGAATACTAAACCCAAGATGTTTCTTAGTTTCAGCTTTAACAAAGTCAGATCAAAAATTAATATGCCATATAAAACTCCCACCCTCCAGTTCAGGCTGTAACACCCTTTACACCTTGCTAGTGTCACTAATAGCATGGGCAAAGATCTGATGGTTTCAGAAGTTACACCCATCTGCAATATTACCACCTATTGTCTCATCCTTGTTCTTCCTCATAAGAGAAGTTAGCACATTGCTTAACATTTTTACCTTGGAAAGTTGCAGGCACTCAGATGGCCTAAAAAAAATGGTTCTGGAAAGATAACCATTTCAGACTGCAAATATGTATTTTTCCTTTATGACTCTGTTAATAACAAGAAAATAACATCCAACTCCTCCATTTAAAAATAACTGCACAAGAAGAGCAACATAGGCCTTGCTACTCAGTGTCCCCTTCTTTTGTGTAAAATCTCCACTCCTGCCCCTTTTCCTCATCAGTCATTTCTCAGGCAATTGAATGCATGTTTTCTGCTTTGGCAAGGGGGCACTTTTGGCTCCCTCCAGAGAAAAGGACATTTTGGGGAACTACTAACCTAAGATTTTCTTCTTTGCATACTGCAAAATATCCCTCTATGTCTGCTTTTGTAGAGGCAACACGTCAGACAAAGGGCTGAGTTCAAACACGTAAACCAAGGTTTGCCATAGCTGATCCTGCAAGGGTTTGTCTGTATACCAAATTACAACTTCACAATTTTAGCTATCAAAAGCAGTAATTTTATTGTCTAAACTACTTTTGAAAACTCCTTTGTGAAAAGCAATTCATCTTTTTTCCAGAAAAAGACAAGCTTTTAAACCCAAACCTGTTTTACAGTCCTAAAAAAATGAGCCCTGCAATCTTAGGACTATGTTGTACCTATCATTTGTATTTTAGTGTTACTTACCAGTAGAACACAATGTATTTTTGCATGTGCTTATATAGTGCATACACTTTATGAAACCGGAGTTACTTGTTTACTGCTGGAAATGCAAGACATGACAATTGTATTTTGCCCCAAGTCCAAATATAAGAGAAAGTTCTATTTTAATGTGCCTTTCGGTCAGCTTTCTGTCTCAGAAAACATTCCTACCATGAAGTTACTTATAACGACATATGGATTTTAACCAGTTTGTCAGGCTGACTGAGATCTGCCTGAGATGACCACGCGCTGCCCTCGGCTGAAATCCACTCTCAAACCCTTCTGCAAAGCCTTGAAACAATATTTTAGGAGACATTTTTTAGAGGGAGGGAAGAGAGAAAAGGTAGGGGGTGAAAAATTAAGGCTCAGCCAACCCTATTGAAGCCGCACCTTTAAGATGCAGTCTGAATCCAATTACGAAAAGGATGAATAATTAACTTTGGCAGCAGGAGTGCTTCAGAGACATTAAAAAGCTGGCCTTGGCTGATGAAGCTAATGGTTTTAATTGCCTCCAGAAAGGCTGCTGAAATTCAATTTCAGTCCAGTGAGGCTTTTATTTATATATTAAACAATAACAACAATACAAATCTCTGTTTTCCTTCAGCTTGCCAAGCACTTTTTTAGGTACTAACAGTATGTTTCTTCAAATTAACATCTGTGTTTAGTTCAGGAGGCTCAGTCTACACACTGAGATCACTGCAAGGATTTTGGCAGGGCCATACCTAACAGCACCGCACAATCAGTACTCTCAGGAGGGAAAAAAAGTGTAACTTGATTCAGAGTCTTCTTTTCTCAAGCCACAATGCATCAGATACTGCAAGTTTAGAGAAAAAAGGCCTCTCCGAGTCACGCTTTGCAGCGCAATCACCTTTATCAGCCATTTCCAGCAGAAATGCCTTTGAATTCCCATTCTCTATTAACTCCACAAC